GAGCGCAGCCACTGGGGCCTTCGCTGGAGTTCCCCATGGGACCACGAAACGTGTGATGGGTGTGCCGAAATGGGTGTGAGGGGTGTGCAGAAATGGGTGCGGTGGGCGCATGGGAGCGCAGCCACGGGGGCCTTCGGTGGAGCTCCCTATGGGGCCACGAAACGTGTGAGAGATGTGCCGAAATGGGTGCGGTGGGCGCATGGGAGCGCAGCCACTGGGGCCTTCGCTGGAGCTCACTATGGGGCCACGAAGCGTATGAGGGGTGTGCCGAAAACTGTCGGCGGGCGCATGGAGCGCAGCCACTGGGGCCTTCGCTGGAGCTCCCTCTGGGCCAACGAAAACCGTCATGAGGGGGTGTGCCGAAATGGGCGCGGTGGGCGCATGGAAGCGCAGCCACTGGGAGCCTTCGCTGAGCTCCTTATGGGGCACGAAACGTGTGAGGGTGTGGCCGAATCTGGGCGGTGGGCGCATGGGAAGCCAGCCACTGGGGCCTTCGGTGGAGCTCCCTATGGGGCCACGAAACGTGTGAGGGGTGTGCCAGAATGGGGGGTGGAACCGCATGCGGGCGCAGCCACTGGGGCCTTCGGTGGAGCTCCCTAAGGGGCCACGAAACGTGTGAGGGGTGTGCCGAAATGGGTGTGCGGGACGCATGCGGACGGCAGCCATGGGGCCTTCGGTGGAGCTCCCTATGGGGCCACGAAACGTGTGAGGGGTGTGCCGAAATGGGTGCGGTGGGCGCATGGGAGCGCAGCCACTGGGGCCTTCGCTGGAGCTCCCTATGGGGCCACGAAACGTGTGAGGGGTGTGCAGAAATGGGTGCGGTGGGCGCATGGGAGCGCAGCCACTGGGGCCTTCGGTGGAGCTCCCATGGGGCCACGAAACGTGTGAGGGGTGTGCCGAAATCTGTGCGGTGGGCGCATGGGAGCGCAGCCACTGGGGCCTTCGCTGGAGCTCCCTATGGGGCCACGAAACGTATGAGGGGTGTGCCGAAATGGGCGCGGTGGGCGCATGGGAGCGCAGCCACTGGGGCCTTCGCTGGAGCTCCCTATGGGGCCACGAAACGTGTGAGGGGTGTGCCGAAATGGGTGCGGTGGGCGCATGGGAGCGCAGCCACTGGGGCCTTCGCTGGAGCTCCCTATGGGGCCACGAAACGTGTGAGGGGTGTGCCGAAATCTGTGCGGTGGGCGCATGGGAGCGCAGCCACTGGGGCCTTCGCTGGAGCTCCCTATGATCGTCATGATGGTGATGATGATGATGATGATGATGATGATGATGATGATGATGATGGCAGGAGGGAGGGGGCAGCGGGAGGAGGACGAGTGAACGCGGGGCGCTGTCTCTTCAAAACGAGGACCCAACACCACAGGATGGTTGGGAATAACAATGCGAAAGACTGAAAACAATCCGGGTAATAAAACATAGGAGAAAATACCCTGGCGAAGGACCCAACCATACGCAATTGTGAATACCGCAATTGTGAATACCATCTTCGCCCGCGCTCCCTGTGTGGCCACGGCTTCCGGCCAGAGCCCGACCTGCTCAACGACGCGTTCGTGGCCGTCTTTGCGGGCGCCGACGAAGACGAGGACGCCATCCCCCTGACCGAGGAGCAGAAGCAGGAAAGGGCTCTGAGAGCCATGAGGGAGACTGCCACTGGAGCCTTCGGTGGAGCTCCTACGGGGCCACGATCCTCGTGAGGGGCGTGCCAAAATGACCCGAGGCCGCCATGCGAACCTTGCCACTGGCGCCTTAGGTGGAGCTCCCTATGGGGCCACGATCCTCGTGAGGGGTGTGCCGAAATGGCCCGAGGCCGCCATGCGAACCCTGCCACTGGCGCCTTCGGTGGAGCCCCCTATGGGGCCACGATTCTCGTGAGGGGTGTGCCGAAATGGCCCGAGGCCGCCATGCGAACCCTGCCACTGGCGCCTTCGGTGGAGTCCCTATGGGGCCACGATCCTCGTGAGGGGTGTGCCGAAATGGCCCGAGGCCGCCATGCGAACTGCCACCGTGGCCTTCGGTGAAGCTCCTATGGGGCCACGATCCTCGTGAGGGGAGTGCCGAAATGGCCCGAGGCCGCCATGCGAACTGCCACCGTGGCCTTCGGTGAAGCTCCTATGGGGCCACGATCCTCGTGAGGGGTGTGCCGAAATGGCCCGAGGCCTCCATGCGAACTTTCCCTCTGGGGCCTTCGGTGGAGTTCCCTATGGGGCCACGATCCTTGTGAGGGATGTGCCGAAATGGCCCGAGGCCGCCATGCGAACTTTCCCTCTGGGGCCTTAGGTGGAGCTCCCTATGGGGCCACGAAACGTGTGAGGGGGGTGCCGAAATGGGCCGAGGCCGCCATGCTAACAGTCCCTCTGGGGCCTTAGGTGGAGCTCCCTATGGGGCCACGATCCTCGTGAGGGGTGTGCCGAAATGGCCCGAGGCCGCCATGCGAACCTTGCCACTGGCGCCTTCGGTGGAGCTCCTTTATAGGGCCATGATCCTCGTGAGGGATGTG